TGTGATCAGAGAAAGAAACTTCCTATTTTGTAGGTTTCTCTTCTCACTTAAGCATTAAAGGAGCTAGAAGCAGCCTGCACTGTGCTTAGTCACTCAGTCGTGTACAATTCTTTGTGACCCCATGGACTGCAGCCCACCAACTGAATAGTAAAAGTGCTAGTTAAAAATATATATAAAATGAAAATAAAACAACAAAAAGATGCATAGCCTGGGCCAAGTTCAAGCTAGAGGAGAGAGAGTCTTTAAATCACAGCGTTTTTAAAATTTGATGAGACTACACTTATTAATAAATGGCCTAAGACTATTTAGGGAAGTAAAGTGACCAGCAAATGTATTATCCATATATTTATATTATCATCATAAAATGCAAAAAGATAAATTGTGCCTAATTTTAGAGTTGATTTAAGGAGCTAGAAAAACATGACCCATGTCAGTGATTTGAATGAGAAATGTGGGTAGATGATGATAGAGATTAATATGAATTCCATTATTGAATCACTAACAATATAGACACATTTTTTTATATGTCAAGTTTTGAAACCCTTTGAGATTTTCTTTTCCTGATTTTGGAGTTAGGACTGATAAATTTAGATTACGTTGGCCTAATTTAAGATTGTTATGTAAGAACTCAAGTCAATGACGCCGGACATTTTACTAAACTGGTTACTTAATGTGAGCTATTAAAAATTGTATTAATAAAATAAATATTTATTTTATTAAATAAATAAAAATGTGAGCTATTAAATAAATAAATTCTTGGTGACAAGGCTGGTATATTTTCATAGTGATTAGGTATGTGTGATTTGAACTTAGGTGATTTTTATTTTGTCATTTTTACATACCTGTAGTCTGTCCCTCTCTCCCTCCCTCTTTCTCTTTCTTTCTTTCATGTTTCTAAAATTTCTAAACTTGCTTTTGGCAAGTTTAAAGGTAATCATTGATTCCCCTTCAGGTAATGACTGCTTATGCTGAGAACAACCAGAAAACCCGGGGAAAAAAATTAAAATACTTCTCTGAAGGCATTGAGAAACTAGCAAGACAGTCTGCTTTTTAAGAATAAAATAAGAGGTGAACCAAAAGCATACATCCAATAGTTGGGTCTGCTTCTCTGCCTGAGGCAGTTATGAATTCTAAATAAGTTTCAGTGTAAAGGCTGAGAGGCTGCTGCTGCTGCTAAGTCGCTTCAGTCGCCTCCGACTCTATGCGACCCCATAGACAGCAGCCCACCAGGCTCCCCAGTTCCTGGGATTCTCCAGGCAAGTAACACTGGAGTGGGTTGCCATTTCTCCATGCATTTCTCCAATGCATGAAAGTGAAGGTGAAGTCACTCAGTTGTGTCCTGATAAATAGCCAGGCTCTTCTACTACTATACCCTAGAAGCAAGCGATAACAGGAAAGAACGAGACGTCACAAGAAAAGAAGCTTTCCTTTCACTCAGTTTTGCCATTGGCAAAATTGTTTTGGAGGAACATAATATCACCAAGAGCCTTCATTATTTTCAACAAAATTTGATACTCTGTCACTTTATAAAACTAAAGCAAGTATAAAAATAACTAGTCATTAAAAAGTAAACAATTGTCCCAAAACAGTAAAATATAGAATATATTGGAAACACAAAAATCTATACGTAGAAATTGCCAGATAGAAAATTGAAAATAATTTTAATTATGTTCAAGAAATTAAATGACAATGTAAAAAATGAAGAAGTAAAACTTCTAGAATAAATATTAGTATTGTATCTTTACTTATACTTAAAGAATCTGATTAATGGCATGTTAGAAACTGCTGAAGAAATAATCAGTTACTAGAATATAGCTGAAAAAATGTGCAAAGATGGTGAAATAATATGATGAAAAGTGCTAAAAGAAATTCAAGAATAATGCAAGAAATACAGTAAAAAAAAAAAATATATATATATATACATATTTTTTTAATTGAAGTGCCAAATATAGGACAAAAGCAAATAAAACCACATGTAAATACAAGATATGAAAATGACCACAAACTAAAGACAAAGTAGAATCTTTGAAATAGTCAAGAGAAAAGGCTAAATTTCTCTTGAAAGAGCATCAGTGAGTTGGAAGTTGACTTCTCAAAAAAGATGTTGACAGAAAAATTTGGAATGACATTTCTAAAGATAAAAAATAACTAACATATTTCTTTATATAGAAAAACATCCATTTTATAAATGAAGTTGAAATTCTAAAAATTAGTGAAAAAAACTAATTTTAGTAGGTCATTATAAAGAAAATTATAAAGAGATTATTTTAGGCAAAAAAAGTGATTCAAGATATATAAAGACAGTTACATTAAATAATTTATAATACTTTCTGAGAGAAAAAAACTACATAATAGGACTGCTATGCCATATTCATGCATTGCAAGGTACATGATTATGAAAATGTCAATATTCTCCAATACATAGGTTGAATTTCAATCAAAAGCCCAATATATTTTGTGTGTGTATGTTCATTTAAACTGGATTTAAACTTTACATGGAAATACACATGTCCAATAACATCCAAGGTGTTACTGAAGAAGCGCACAGTGCACTGTTAATACTAACTGCACAGCCATGGTGGGACAGTGTGATGATGTTACTGATATACTAACGTGATAAAGCAGGTATAAATAGATGTACTAATGTATACAATAGTGAAGAATCTGACTTATACACACATACACAAACACACACATATATGTGCACACATATATACACATATGTACACGTGTGTGCATGTATATTTACACATAAACAAGTCTATCACAAAATGATTTAGACAAAATTACCCCAGGCCAATTAAATAGCTATAGGTTTATAAAACCAAAAGAATCTTCCCCCATTATTCACATAATATACAAAGATAATTTCATATGTATTGTACATCTTAAATGTGAGTATGTCAGAAGAATATCTTCAGAATTAATTATAGACAGTTAAACAAGTAAATAAATTAAAGGTTGTTAAATAATTTGAACAAATATTTCCTCAAAAATTCTGTCTAAATGGCCAATATGCATATAGTGGGCTCAACCACCATAAACAAACAGAAAATGCCATAGGTAGTTAGCAGGCAAGGATATGGAATAATGGCAATTATATATTGCTAGTGAAAGTACAACTGTATAATTATTTTTATGTATCTCTTAGATAGCAAAACGGTTGAAAATACATATAATCTATGATCAAGAACATTAACTTATATGTGTATCAACAATAAAATTAATATATATGTATGCCAAAAATATTTATAAAAATAGAGTGGCATTGTTTATAATAACCCCAAACTATAACACCCAATGTTAGTCTACAGAAGAATGAAAAATAAAACACTTGTGTAATCTCAAAATGTAGAATTTTAATGTAACAAAAAGAACAATTTCTGGTACATAAAATTTATGGATACATTTCACAGTAATTAGTGAAAGATGTAAAATACAACATACATGCTCCTTAATTTTATTCATGACAATTTCAAGAACAGACAAAATTAATTTTTGATTTTAGAAATTAAACAACAGTTACCTGAGGAACAGAGAGGGAGTAGTGACTGGGAAGGAGCTTCAGACTCTTGTGCTAATGTTCTATTTTATGATCTTCTTAGTCATTTTTTGGTATATTTATTCTCATAATGGATAATAATGTTTACTGATGTTTTGTGTTTTGTGAAATTTTACATATATGTTATCCTTTGATTTAAAAGTTTATAAAATATTTTATACAGAGAATATATTATACATAGTCATATATATATATGTATATATATATATATATATATATATATCAGTTCAATTCAGTTGCTCAGTCATGTCCGACTCTGCAACCCCATGAACTGCAGCACACCAGGCCTCCCTGTCCATCACCAACTCCTAGAGTCCACCCAAGCCCATGTCCATTGAGTCGGTGATGCCATCTAACCATCTCATCCTCTGTCATCCCCTTCTTCTCCTGCCCTCAATCTTTCCCAGCATCAGGGTCTTTTCCAATGAGTCAGCTCTTCACAGCAGGTGGCCAAAGTATTGGAGTTTCAGCTTCAACATCAATCCTACCAACAAACACCCAGGACTGATCTTCCTTAGGATGGACTGGTTGGATCTCCTTGCAGTCCAAGGGATTCTCAAGAGTCTTCTCCAATACCCAGTTCAAAAGCATCAATTCTTCAGTGCTCAGCTTTCTTTGTAGTCCAACCCTCACATCCATACATGACCACTGGAAAAGCTATAGCCTTGACTAGACGGACCTTTGTTGGCAAAGTAATGTCTCTGCTTTTTAATACGCTATCTAGGTTGGTCATAACTTTCCTTCCAAGGAGTAAGCGTCCTTTCATGTCATGGCTACAATCACCATCTGCAGTGATTTTGGAGCCCAGAAAAATAAAGTCAGCCACTGTTTCCCCATCTATTTGCCATGAAGTGATGGGACCGGATGCCATGATCTTAGTTTTCTGTATGTTGAGCTTTAAACCAACTTTTTCACTCTCCTCTTTCACTTTCTACAAGAGGCTCTTTAATTCACCAACTCACTTACCCTAACAGATATTTGTACTTCCTGCCAATATTACTATAAAACAAGCATGCACATAGCCATTACTCAGGTAACAAGAATTCACACTAAATTATTAAAAAATGCAATCCAATTTTTAAATTGTGTAGTAGAAGCTATGTAGCTTAAATTGAGGGTAATATTAGTTATGATCAAAGAAAATTGGTTGGGTTTCAAATAGCTTCTTAATATCATCTCCTAATGATAATTCTTCACAATTTATTTAAACCTTGCTTTCTTTTCTTATAAAAATATTCATTTTTTGACTGCAGTTCATTTCTCAAGTTTATATCATTAAAAAAGTCTTCCTATCCTGAGCTTAAGATCTACTTTAATGTATTCTTTATATATATACATATGTATAGTATTTTACATTTGTTCATGGACACTTAGGATGGATATATACTAAGGTATATTTAATGTTGTTGTCCCATTTTCTATGCCAATACCTCATTAGGTTTGCCAGAGTTAGCTGAATTTCTAAACATAGTGCTCATTCAATCAGGGAAAGACCAAAAGAAAACCTCAATCAACAACTATGTCTCATCAGTCATTTGCTAGATGGAATTGGAGTTAATATATGTAAGTAAAAACATTTACTTATACAGTTGAACATTTGAAATAAGCCAAAGAAAAAATATTACATTTTAAATCAACTTTTATAAAAAAATGCATGTATATGATAAGAGTTCAAAAACCATGGAAAGGTGAAAGATAAACTATAAGAAATTATCCTCTTCCCCAAAGCATCTACTAATAATGTTACCTTATTTAACTTAGTGCTAACAAAATCTGTAGTAGACAAAATAATGGACCCCAAAAATATTGTGCCTTAATTGCAAGAACTTCTGAATATGTTATATTAACATGAAAAAGAGCGATTAGGTTGCAGATCTAATTAAGGGTGCTAATTTGCTGACCTTGAGATGGTGAAGTTATTTTTTTCCACTTTTATTTAGATAAAATTGACAAACAGCTCTGTAGAAGCTTAAGGTGTAGCACATGATGATACATCATGAAATGATTACCACGATAAATTTTATGAACATTCATCATCTGATAGAGGCTTCCCAGTCGTCAGTGGTTAAGAATCCACCTGCCAAGCAGGAGACACGGGTTTAATCCCTGGGTTGGGGAGATCCCCTGGAGAAGGAAATTGCAAGCCACTTCAATATTCTTGCCTGGGAAATTCCATGGACAGAGGAGCCTGGTGTGCTACAGTTCATGGGGTCACAAAAGAGCTGGACACAACGTAGTGACTAAATACAGACATATTCCCTGTCTATCCACTTTGTGGAGAGTTATTTTATCGTAACTAGATGTTGAATTTTTGTCAAAATGACTTTCTGCATCACTGGTATAACTCTATTTTTATTCCTCAAATTTTAAATGTGCTTTGTCACATTTACTGACTTGGGGCTATTAAGCCATTTTTGCATCCTTGGGATAAATCTTGCATGATCATGGTGTATAATCCTTTTAATGAATTGCTGAATTCAGTTTGCTAATATTTTGCTGAGGATTTTTGCATCTATTCTCATCAGTGATATTAGCCTGTAGTTTCCCATCTCTCTCTCTCTCAGTATTTTTGTCTGGTTTTCGTATCAGGTTGGTACTGGCCTTGTGGAATGAATCCAAAAGCATTTCCTTCTGTTTAAGTTTTTGGACTATTTTGAGAAGGATAGGCATTAATTCTTTAAATGTTTGGTAGAATTCATCTATGAAACCATCTGGTCTTTGACCTTTTTATTTATGTGGAAGTTTTTTTATTGCTGATTTAATTTCATTACTGGTACTTGGTTTGTTTATATTTTGTATTTCTTCCTGATTTAATCTTGCTATGAAAGATCAACTTTAAAAACTATCAATATGAAGAGTTGGTTCTTTGAAAATATAAACAAAATTGGTAAATCTTTATCCATATGCATCTGGACTAGAAGCATATCCAAATAGTTACAAGTGAAACTACAGAAATACCCCCCCAAAAAAAAGATATCACTAAGAACAATTATATGCCAGTAAAATGGACAACCAAGAGAAATGGATGAATTCTAAGATAGTGAAATTTTCTTATTTGGGTTGTTTCAATGTAATCACAGAATCCTTACAAGTGGAAGAGCAAGGCAGAAGAGGGAGAAGCAGAATGATGGCTGCATAATATTTAATATACTGTTGCTGACTTTGAATATACAGGAAGGTTATAGCACTGCTAATACATTTATTTTAGCCCAGTGAAACACATTTGAAATTCTAACCTCCAGAAATATAAGGAAATAAATTTGTGTTGTTTAACCACGTTTTGGGGTAATTTTTGGTAATTTTATAAGCTGTAATAGGAAAGTAATATGAGATATTAATAAAATGTATATTTATTCAGATCAGAACTCTATGGGGAACAATTCACCTTACCTGGAGTTCTCTGAAGTTGTGAAGTATACAAGTTGTGAAACTACAGATAATGGTGGCCATGATTATACTCTTTACTACATGATAGAGATATTCCTATATCAGTATATATACAGAGCTTTTTGTTTCACTAATGATGCACAGTATTCTTTTTATGAGAGTGCCATAGGTTAACCATTCTTTATCTATAACTTAAAGAAACAGAATTAGAAAACTATTCTATCATATATATATGTCTAACCAATGGAACTATAATTTAATACATATTGAAGTATAGTTAAATTGCTCCAAGTGTTAGTTATTGCAAATAATACAATTATTCTTCTTGGACTGCAAGGAGATTAAGCCAGTCAATCCTAAAGGAAATCAACCCTAAATATTCATTGGAAGGACTGATACTGAAGCTGAAGTTCCAATACTTTGGCTACCTGATGCGAACAGCCTACTCATTGGGAAAGATCCTGATGCTGGGAAAGATTGAAGGCAAAAGAAGAAGGGGGCGGCAGAGATGAGATGATTAGATAACATCACCAACTCAATGGACATGAGCAAACTCTGGGAGACAGTGAAGGACAGGGAAGCCTGGCATGCTGCAGTCCATGGGATCCCAAAGAGTTGGACACAACTTGGTGACTGAACAACAACAAGGTGGAACTGATTCTCAAATACATATCAGTTCAGTCACTCAGTCGTGTCCAACTCTGCAACCCCATGGACTATAGCACACCAGGCATCCCTGTCCATCGCCAACTCCCGGAGTTTACTCAAACTCATGTCCATTGAGTTGGTGATGCCATCCAACCATTTCATCCTCTGTTGTCCCCTTCTCCTCCTGCCTTCAATCTTTCCTAGCATCAGGGTCTTTTCAAATGAGTCAGTTATTTGCATCAGGTGGCTAAAGTATTGGAGTTTCAGCATCGGTCCTTCCAATGAATATTCAGAACCAATTTCCTTTAGGATGGACTGGTTGGATTTCCCTGCTGTCCAAGGGACTCTCAAGAGTCTTCCCCAACACCACATTTCAAAAGCATCAAATTCTTCGAAAGGTGAAACTGATTCTTTCTTTATATGTGGAAGTAGCCTTTTTGTTTTTCTCTTCCCTTAGGAATAAAACAGCTTTTGGAATTATACTCTATTGATGTGAATGAGAACAAGATGGGAAAATAACATGTGTTCACAGATAATGAGACTCTTGTTATCCTTGGGGAGATTGATCTGTCAATATAAATAAGCAAACGCTGGGAAAGAGCCTAGTGCAAAGCCAAACTAGGCATAGGATGATACTGAGCTTAAATCCAAGAAGACAGTTGCCATTTTCAGAAGGACACTGCAAGAGGAGCTCTGGGTGATCAGGAATCTGTAATGCTAATATTCCAGCTATTTGTTGAACTTTCATTTTCTAAACGCAAAAAGTATTAAACAGCACAAAAAATATTTGATCCTGGAAATGCTATGTTGTCTACATTAGTTAGTTCATTTTGGAGAAACTGTCCATAAATCATTAATCTCCTGATGAGAAATAGATTTATTAAAGAAAATCATCATACACTGTATTATAATCATTCTCATTTTATTATCCAGTTATAATTGCTTTTTAGAAATATGTTGAGTGGGCATAACATCATAAAATCATTTGATGAATTTCATTTGAGTTTGTATATTGTACCATTGATATATTTAACATCTAAACAGGTCTGTTTTCTAAACTTAATGACAAAGTAATCAAATTTTATAAATCTAATAAAATAAATTTTAAGAGGAAATAAGATTTTCACAATAAATTCTTACAGAATTATGAAAGTTACTAAACAGACATAAATTAGTCTGAAAACACTGATGCTTAATATTAGAACATACAGGAATTTAAGTACTAAAATGCATTTAAAATAGGATTTTTTTTAATGTTTTAAAATTTATTTTCTAAATGGAAGAAAATTGCTTTACAATGTTGAACTGGATTCTGTCATGCAACAATGCCAATCAGCCATAATTATACATATATCCCCTCCTTGACCCTCCCTCCCCTCCCCTGATCCCATTCCTCTAGGTAATCACAGATTGACAGGTTTGGCTCCCTGTATTATATATCAGCTTCTCACCAAGTATCTGTTCTACAAATGATAGTGTAAATGCTACTTTCTCCATTCATCCCAATCTTTCCTTACCCCACTGTGTCCACAAGTCCATTCTCCACATCTATATCTTCATTCCTTCCCTGCAAGTAGGTTCATCAATATCATTTTTCTAAAATAGGAATGCTTAATAATTTTGGTTAAAATTATTTCTTTGATCAGGTCCAAATGAATCTTTTTAAAGTAGGTATTCTTTTTTTTAAAAAAAAATATGCTTAATATATGCTTATTTTATCACTGTCATGCTCTAAATCATTTTTTACCAACATCTGAGACATGGGTAAAATAGTAGATATATTTATAGTTTTAAATTTTTGAAAATAAATTAATATAGGGTCACTTGGTTATCTAATAGATTCAGTAATGTTGCTGCATATTTTCAGTCTTATACTGAGTAAAAGGTCTGTGGATAAGGGGGAAGACAGAATTTCTTGCTCCTGTTACCCACTATCTAGATTTTCTTAGTATTGACATATGAGAATATTGACATGTTAGATGTTTATCTTTCATTATTTTAGGAAAGTTTGGCAGAAATTCCAATAGTTACATTGACTTATTTAAAAGACAAAAGTGTTATTTTAAGAATATTGTATATTGAAGATTTTTAACTGGCTCAGTTTCTTACAGCACCTTAGAGAATGAAAGCTGTGATAAATAAGCTATATCAGCTCAGGAAAAAGGGAAAAAATATGGAAATGAAGATCTAAAGTGTCTTTTAACGACAAGAGAGAATAGGAAAGGAAGATAGCTGTATTTATGAATGAAGCAAATATGAATCAAGGAAAATGATGTTAAATGTGTTGATTAGGAGAGAATAAAGAGGAAAAAATAGAAAAAAAATTCAAGGTCATTTTCATGTTTTAAACTTTTATAACTATATATTAATTTTACTGACATATTTTCTATAGGCTTCCTTGTCTGAAAGCAAAGAGAGAACACTTAGAAAATTAATATTTTTTAAGCACTGTGGTACTTCCCAGTATTTAAAATAGACTCTAATTTTTGTTTAAAATATCATAACTACACTTAAAATCATCAGGACACTTATATAAAAAATTATTAATAGTGACTGTTTATCTCTTGATTTCCTTTGACAGTATAATTTTGAGTAATTTCAATTTCTTTGAATGTACACACACACACACACACACACACACATATATATTCTACCAGATTCTTCAAAATGAGCACATTTAATTTTTTATTCATGTTTCAAAGCATAAAATCAAAATTTTAAGCAGGAAACATTTTTTTTTTAATTCCCTGAGCAAATGAAATTTTTTGAAAGTCAGAAGGGGCAAGTTTTAGTTTGAAGTTCATGAAGGTCCCTTTAAACAACAAAAAATAGACTCATCATGATATGTACTACTTTGAGGCAACTGATATAATTATTTGCCTCAACTTCATAATTATGGGAAAACAATCAGAAAATGTGAATAAAGATAGCTTTATTGCTGCCAAAACAGACTCTCACTGAAGGAAGACATAGATTTTCAGCAGAAAGATGTTGGTGCTCATTTGTTTTCTGTAACTGTCAAAATCTAGTATGACTTTGATACCCTTTAATCTAGGAACTAAATTTTCATATCCACTACCACCAGCACAGCTAAATAAAAATAAGAAATGAAGAGACTATATACACACACACACACACACACACACACACACATATATATATACGCCATATGTATATGTGTGTGTGTATAGAGAGAGGGGGAGAGGATATGGGTAGTCCTGTCTTGGACTGCCACTACTGTAACAAAATATCATAGATCAGTAACTTAAACAACAGCAATGTATTTTCTCAGAGTTCCAAAGGCTGAAAATTGAGATCTGGGATGCTAGAATGGTAGGATGAGATTTGCCTCCCTGGCTTAGATATACTATCATCTTAATATGTACTCAAATGAAAGTGTAAGAGAGAAAGTAAATGCTAGTGTCTCTTTTTATAAGTGTACCAACTCCATCATGAAGGCCCCATCCTCATGACCTCAACTAAGTCAATTACTTCCCAAGGCCCACTTCCCAAATAACATCATTTGGGAAATGGGGCATCAATATAATGAATTTGGGAAAGACACAAATTCATTTTCCATTACCACCAACACTGTTTAAGGGTTCCAATTTCTCTACATCCCCAACATTTGTGATCTTTTGTTTTTTGATAACCATCATAACAGATACGAGATAATATCTTACTGTAGTTTTTATTTGCATTTTCATGACTATTAATTATGTTGAACATCTTTTCATATGCACATTGTGATGCAGCAATCCTATTCTGGATATGGTTCCAAAATAATTAAAATCAGGATTTTGAAGAGATAACTGCACTCCCAGTTTCATTGCCGTATTATCCACAGTAGCCAAGATATGGAAACAACTTATGTGTTTTCAAGAGATGAACAAAGAAAATATGTTAAATACATACAAGAATGCTATTCAGCCTTTTAGAAAAAGGAAAGATTGCCATTTGACACAATGAGGATGGAGAGCATTATGTGAAATAAAATAAGTAAACACAGAAGGACAGATACTGAATGGCTGTTTTTATATGAGTTATCTAAAATGGTCAAACTCATAGAAGAAGAGAATACAGTAGTGGTTGCATGGATTGAGGAATGGGAGAAATGGGGAGCAGTTGTTCAACAGGTATAACATTTCAGTTATGCTAGATGAATAAGTTCTAGAAATCTGCTGTGCAACATACTGCCTTTAGTTAACAATATGGTATTGAGCACTTCAAAATTTGTTAAGAGGGTAGATCTCATGTTAAGTGTCCTTACTGCACACCCACAAAATAGACATAAAGAAACTTTGGACAGTGTTGGATGTGATCATTACCTTGATTGTGGTGATGGCATCATGGGTGTTTTGTCATGTCCAAACTCATTAAATTGTACACAAAAACTGTGTGCAGTTCTTTGTATATCAATTATACCACCATAAAGCTGTTTAAAAAAGCCAAGAAAAATCTTAAACTGTTGATGTATAATGCCTTGTGGATAGGAATAAACAATAAAATAGTTTATGAGTGGGTTGCATGATGTATAAAAATGCCATGCCTAGATCCATTCTCTTGGCACTTGGATTCTGCATTCTTCAGAAGGTTATTCTACTATTCTGAAAGGCCAGATGCTAACTGCTATCCCAGGTGGCTGAAATACAGAGTAAAACCAGTAAAACCCATGCTAATCAGTACATTTTTTTGCCTCTCACTGTAAATTCAGTTATTCTCATGAACAAGATTTTAATACTGTAGTGTTCCACCTTAAGCTGGTGACAACTTATCATGCAGAACCAACTGCAAAGCAGACTAAAAATGTTACCTTCCATAGTTAACATATAGCAAACTCCCTAGAAGACCGTGACAGTAAGTTTGAGAGTGAGTGGCAATGTACCAGGAATAGGTGCTCTGGGAGCATGACCCACTAGCTTGAGCAACTTACTTGTACTTTTGGGACAAGCTTGAAGCCATTCTTCAATATGACATTTTCACTTGATGGTACAGGTATGCTGATCATACATTTGTGGCTTGGTGAATTAGATAATGCCCATTTATTTGCATATGCTCAGTTGTAGGACAGTGGTCTTTAGATTTTCCTAGTACTCAAAGAGAATTTTCTCCAAACCCTAAGGGTCCACTCGCTAATTATCTTTGAAGACTCACAATAGACTGAAGGTACTTCCTCATTTGCTACAGAAATTTTGAGTATTATTGGTTTTGCCAAGCCATATGTGACAAAGACGCATTCACTAAAGCTTGGGCCAACTCTTAGAGTGTTTGTAAGGACTGGACCCCAAATTCAAAACCTTGTAGGCTTCAAAAACTAATTTGCAAAATACAGCACATTTAATTTGTCATATACCTCTCAAGTCAAAAGAGGACAAATGAGCCATGTGCCACTTGCCTAGTTCTAGGGACTATAATGGGCATCATCCTTGTCTTTTACTTTAGAGTAACTCTAATTTGACTCAAGCCAGGAAACACCAATAATCCTAACTGAGGTAGAAAATTGAAATTTGACCCTTTAGGGCTTCCCTGGTGGCTTAGAGATCAAGAGTCCACCTGAAATGCAGAAGCTGCAGGAAATGCAGGTTCGATCTCTGAGTCAGGAAGATCCCCTGGCGGAAGGCAAATCAACCCACTCCAGTATTCTCGCCTGGAGAATCCCATGGAGAAAGGAGCCTGGCAGGTTATAGTCCATAGGTTGCAAAGAGTCAGACAGAACTGAAGCAACTTAGCACACACACACACATCCCTCTTTAACAAGCATTTTCTTTCTTGCCAAATGTTAGAGGATATAAACTGTGCCTATCCTGTCAATATGTAGACATTAATGTGG